GGCTTCGCATTAATTTAAAATAACATCCAAAGAGCTTCCTGTCTTATATAACCTGACCACATTTCTGTCAGTTCTCGTTTGCTAACTCTATTCTAGCCACAGTGGTCCTTCTTTCTGTCCTGCAAACATGCCAACATCCTTCCCATTGCAGAATGTTCCATGTGCTGGCCTTTCTGCTTGGGGAACAATCAAGATTTCACATGACCAACATTCTTCTTACCACTCAGGTCTCATTTCAGATTTCACCTCCTGGGAGTTCTAGCTGAAGCCACCCCTTCACAACACCTCCATCACACTTAGCAGTATGAAAAATTATCTCACTCTTCATTGATGTATGCATTCATTAATTCATTCATGCATACATGCATTCATTCATGCATGCACTTATTCACATATGCATTTGTTCATTTCACGCGTGCATTCGTTCATTCATGTATTTATGTGTTGCTTGTCAGCCTCTCCCACTCTCCTGTAAGCTCCATGAGGACGGGGACTCTGTCTACTCACAGATGTCTTCTCAGGATCTAGAATAATGCCTGACACTTTGTAGGAACTTAACTATTTGCTCAAGAATTATAACAAGGGAAAGAAATGTGTGCTTTTATAAGGTGATAGGGATAGAGTCTTTTCAGGAAGGGCTTAAAAAAGACATTTCTAACTGAAGAACTGCCTTGTCCTGGAAAAGAGTCCTGATGTGCACTTGAGGTGCCTGAAGCCTCTATCTTGTCACTGCTGGATTTGCTGACTGTCCCAAGCTGCCAGTTACACGTGGTGCAGAACACCAGTCCCCGGGTATGAGCAGGGCCACACGGGGCATCAGAAGCCTGGGGTCTAAGAATGATAATGACATCGGGGCTTGCAGTGTGACTGCATTCTCCTCTGCAGAATGAGGATGGCGTAGTTAATTTGAAGATGAAGGCTGAAATGTGAGGCACTTTGGAAACCATACGATTATTGGGTAGGGAGGCAATGTTGGTGTTGAGAGGCTTGAGAGGGATTTGTCCTGAAGTCTAGTACAAGAAGGTCCTATGAGCTTGCAACTCACCCTTTCCTCAGTACCGAGGAAGAAATGCCCCCGTATTCTTTAAAATGTCTAAACTTTGGATTCGACTACTAACATAGACAGACTATTATATACACTCTCTCTGTCTGCCGGCTCTTACACACGACTACAAGACCAGTGCAGAGTAACACCTCATCTGCAACC